TATTCCAAAATGTTTCAGAGGTGTAGGTTGTAGCCATGTTGGTCTAAGGACATAGGCAGACAAGGTATCAGATTCACCCAAGGAACCTTGTCTGAAAATGTTTCAGATGCTTTTATTTCATTTTGGAGAGGTTTTGGAACCTTCGGTTTCAATTCTGATCTGGTGATTCAGCCACTGAAATGGATCAAAACATCTCTGAAACAAAACAGCTGCTGAAGTTTTGCACAGCCTTAATGTCCTGGTGCTGAGACAGAGCTGCTGCCAGGAGGGAGCTAGTGGGGATAGGCAGGGGCTGCGGGTCAGGAGTTGAGGGGCACTGGCAAATCTATGGGTTGGGAGTGAGGGGCAAGGGCAGGGGCAGGGCACTGGCATATCAGTGCTGCTCAGCATCCAACATCCTGGTGAGCGAAGGGGGCAGAGGCACTTCAATTTATCTACGATAAAAAAACCCAGAAGCAAATGCCAACGTTTATAGATACTTAGAATTTGTTTTATTATAATGATAGAGGCACTGGTAGGCTTCCAAATTGCTTTAACATTTTAAATACATCAATAAAATATTGCCCAACTGATCTCCCTCTATATAGTAGCGTTTCATTTTAATTGCGGAAGAACACGGATTTTGGATATTTTAATGAGAGAATTTGAGGGGGGTTTATCACAGAATTTGCAATTTTTAAACAGGGAACACCTGGATCTCTGCTGGTGAGGCAAGTGACGGGACCCAGGCAAAGGAGCTTGCCCAGGGCCAGCACTAGGGATGCAGCTGGAGGGCAGACAAGGTGGCTGACCTCTTGGACATTTGGGGGAGCACATCTTCTGGGTGATGGTTGCCCAGATGGCAGAGAGGGGGGCACCTGAAAATGACAGCAGTGCTACCCGAATGCCAACTGTGCAGCCCCAGCCTGCTGGCAGCTGGCCCAGAGGTGCAGGCGGCTCTGCTACATTGCTTGTACCAGAGCCCAGGTGGCCATGCGGTCCCTGCCTGGGTCTGGCAGGTGCACAGCCATGGGACTGCAGGTCCAAGGGGGTGGATGCTGTCACAGGTGGTAGCAGTTCACAGCTAGGCAGCAGCCCCCGTTGCCAAACTGCTGCAGTGGGTAGAAGGGGCAGGAGCCACTGTAGGTTAGGGCTGCTTCAGCAGTCGAGCTGGCACAAGCGGTAGTGTCCCCAGCTACCAACTGGCCAGGCCTCAGAAGATCCTGAGGGCAAGTAGCCCTGAGCTGCTGTCCATGGTAGCTTTTTATACTGCTCGGTCCAGCACAGGTGCTGGCCTCAGCTTCTAGCTTCCCCTGGCTGCAGATCTGCGAGGAGCTGGGCAGTCAGTTTTCCTCAAGTGGCACAATTTGCCCGACACCAAAGTGTATGTTCAGACACGTGCTGAGGCACAAATTTGTACTGCTGCTGTTTGAGCTGCTGCAAGCACATGTGCCTGCATGTGTGGACATGCAGAGACACATGTCTTTTAAAGTTTTGAAAACAGCTTTGATATATCATTTTGGCAACTGAACATTCTCTAGTATTACAGAGTATGAAGCTTGGACCAGTTCTGGGCCATTTTAGTTTTTCCTAATGCGAAGAGGATTGAGGCTATGACTCTCTCTTTGGAAAGCAGAGTATCGCTGCAAGTATTTTACTCTTCATATCTCTGTTGTTTTTTTTCTTTTTTTTATTCTTTGAATGCAAAATTTCCTGGGTACTGTCCCAACTCTTGCTCCCAACTTAAGGTCAGCCACAATTTATGCTTGCTCAGAAGCTATTTTTCAAACTCAAATATGATGGTTATTCCTTATGTCTAAAAAGTATCCGAAGCTTTGGTTTGCCTCGCTAAATGAAATGGAGATTAACTTGCTGAAATCTGATTTGCTTTAAGACGCAAGTCATTCCAAACTGTGGACGTTTTTGCAAAGTACATAATAGACATTCAGATCTGTCAATTCTGGAAAAAATAAATGCCTATCAAAAAATAATCCCTTTCCCATGGGAAGCGTTCTATACAAGTTCCTCCAATTTGCACATTTAGTATGCATGTAGAGATAATGTACAGAATTTCCTGATTAAAATATAAACGATCAATTCCAGGAAAATAGGCTGGATTGATCCTGTTTTACAATAATTCTTGATTGCCACCTGCTGGGCTGTTACTAAATAGCTATGGCAATTTCTTACACTTACATAGCGCCCCCTGATTCAGCTTTGTATTCAAGTAAAATTTGCATTGAACCCTTGTGTAAGTTCTGCCTCTGTAAGAAGAAATGAATAGAACCCATTATCAATAGGTTCATATATTTTGTGCTCATCTCTGGTGTAATTAGCATATTCAGTGGAGGAAAATAGTGGAACATGCTAATGTAAAATGTTCAGTGGGTGCAGTATTTCCTATTTTAAGTATATGGAATATCTCTAAATTCAATACTGTTTGTAAAGCTGGAATGAAACATGAGTACCGGCTGCACTTGTATATTCCATTTGGAATCTAATTTAGAATTTGGAGTCCACTGTTTTGTTAACATAAATCATATATTTAAATGACAAAGTCAAATATCAGGTTTTGTTGCAGTAAAGAGGTTCGCAAGTAGAGGGGAGTTTAAAAAGTTTTCCCTAAGTTGTTTCTGCTGACCTGCAGGTCCTGCTTAGAGGTTGCAAGTGGTCTCAGCTGAGCCACACTATCCTTCTTGTGCATTATGTGTGTACTACTTTTGATTTCCAAAGGTTCCCCATCACTGGGTCACATTTCTTAAAACAGGATCTTAGCCTGAACTCGGAGGAAATTTCAAAAGGAGAAGTTTAATAATACTTTTGTATTATATACATGATACTTTAATAATTTGAAAGAATAGACAGTAAGTGAAATTTGAGTATGGAGATAGACTAAGGAAATTAAGGACTTTGGTCTTGCATTTAGCAGCATACACTGCCCATAATTGTCACTCATTTTGATTTCTTTAGTTATCTGATGTAAAGGATTTGAGTATCTTGTGTTGTCATGATCTGTCAGTCACATCAACAGAGAAGCATTGTAACCTTATCCACCATGACACAAAGAATAAATAAACCTGCAAACCTTCAGAGCTTTTCTTGAAGAACAGATGACACCACCAAAGATGATCAGTACAGATTTTGTTGTCTTCCCAAACCACTTAATGTGATCAGAGAATTAAAATTTCAACAAGTCATTTAATGATGACTGTGCTGCAAGAACTCTAACACCCAGGTTAGGTTTCTTGTGGTTTCATAGTTATATGTGGGGCCGTTTTTCTGGCACTGAACGTATTGTGGGACATTCTTCTCTGCCTTATGTGATCAAGTAAATTTATTAACAACAATGAGGTCACTGTAATTTTCAATAAATGGTGACTTGCTGATTTATATCAAAAGATCCATACAGCAGTAAACAATACCATTTACATTTAATTAGTTTTATTGAACCAAAGGCAATTTTATTTGTAATGAACCACATGTTATGATTAAGGATGTATTTTAATGATCTTTAAGTAAGGTGAACAAATGTTGCCCTTGACCTAATAGAGGAGGTTTTTCTACGTTATTGATAACTTCAGAGTGATTTCTAAATTATTATTGTAAAATGCAAAGGAAAACATTGTCATTATTTTACCATCATTTAGTCATTTTGCGACTAATGTAAACAGATGAGATGCATTTTTCTAAATGGTGGTTTGTAGCTAACGAAGCTTCCTAACGTGTTATTTAGTATTTTGTAAGTTCTATCCATTGTTGTATGGAAATATTTTTTTATAGTCTCTGTTCTCAACTTTGTTCTTGCTAAGCATTTTAACTTAGAATTGCTGTAAACCTACTTTTTTTTTCTATTTGCTTGTCTTCTTTTAAGTAGGGATATAACCAAAATTATTCACCTCAATTGTTTCCCCATATAAATGAAAAATTAGAAGGAAAATTCTGTTCCTGTTAAAGTCAATGGCCGAACTGTCTTTGACTTCAGTGTGGACCAGCATTTCAGCAAGAGTAATGCTGGACTTATTTTGAAATTCCTAAAAATGTATTTCTTCATTAATAAACTAGTATTAAAGAAAATATTTTGGAAATATTTTAGCACAAGTCGAATGACAATAAGGTGGAAGGGAAATTTCATAATACTATGGTATCCCTGCACCTAGGCCATCCAGATTTTCCCTGTTCAAAATAGTTTAAGCTGTTTTTCTGTACAGCATTATTTATGAAGCTTACATAGCTGCATTAATCTTTCCATCTCAGATAGTGCCATGCTTAATTTTTTGTGGTCTCTGTTGTGAGAGAAAGGACAGCTTTTGCCTCTGGGGCAATAACACTGGACAGAGAGAAATCTACCCAATTTAAACTGTAGAAATAGGCATAAACCATGGTCCTCTTAAAACTCATCATTGGCTGATGAATGCTAAGCAGGTGTTTTGGTATTGTGTCCTTATTAGAATATAAGTGATTCTTCCCCCATGTTATATGAGAGTCTAGCTTTTTTAAGTCCTGCCTGAGAGTTGTATACACATGAAATACTTAGAGTTGTGTTTTGCATGTGATTGCAGGGGGAAATATTCTTCATTTTATCCTGCACTTGAGTGCAGATATATCTTGCTGACCTGCACTACATCTTTTTTTCTGTAGTTACAGGCAAAGTACAGAATCAGTTATTATGTTAAAATATCCTGCTAGGGTATAGTCTGTATAAAATCATAGTGCTTTGAGAGCAGAGGCCATATTTTGAGTTCTCTGAAGATTCTAGCCATCTTAATGTAAAGGAATATTTGAAAGTTCCTTAAAAAAAGGATTATAAAAGCATGTGCAACGTCAAAGATCTTGATTATTCAGAAAAATGAGAGAATTCACTTTTGTCAAAGTGGAAATTAAGAAGGCTTCTGAAAGGGATAGGCAGTGTTAGATCTCAAATGCACAAAAGGACACTAAATACAGGCTAAAGAGCACAGGAAGTAAAGGAATGTAGATAAACATTTTTACAGTGTACCTAACATGTAATAGGCTACAAAGGGGCACTGTTTGTAGTTGCAGTGAGTTAAAGCAAAATTTGACTATATTATATGTCAATGTCAGTTTATGTGAAGACATGGATATTTCTACTTTTTTGCATTCTAATTTTGTTTCCTAACTGAGCTTTTCTGAAAAGAAAAGTTCATGTTTGATGCACTTCACTAACAGTTCTTATTGTATATGAGTATGTGTGTGGTATTGGTTTTCTTCTGTACTATTCAGTACTGAGAAACTTATATTTCTGTGTACAATAAAGCACGTAATAGCCTGGATTAACTAAATTGTACGTGATAACAGACTGGGAAGAATTGAATGATGAAGATATAGGATACCACATGTGTATTAGTTTCATATGAATTATTTCTTGTGAAGCTGATGAAAACTAACCTGGAAGCACAAGAGTGCAGTAAGTGGAAGTTTAGGTGAATAACTAAAATAAATGGCCAATGATTTGAGATGACAAAAGATATTTTGCAAAAATTTAGTCTTGAAACTTGATTTGCTTTTATAAAACTTGTAAATAAACTAATTGAATGATTTAGGGTTATATATACCTCTGTAGGGCAAGGTAAACATACCATGCATAGATTGTGAACATCAGTTACAAATTATTTTCATGATTTGCATCTAAAGGTGCTTTTTAGAACTACGTCAGAAGAAAGTTTGATAAAATGCAAACTAGATCTGAATGTATTCAGAATTTATTAATGTGTTTGTTCGAAGATGGCTGTAGATCTCAACAGTTCTATAACAGAAGGATCACAATAACAACTCTCAGATTTTAAGACATGCCATTTAACTCTTAGATTCTGTAAACGTCTGTAATATATCGGCATTTAGTGGAACTTTTTTAATTCAGTTTTATCATTTTCCCTAC